CTCTGATGAAATGGTCCAGAGAAAGAGAAATAATGGAGATGATTCTGAACAGACTGTTATGTTCTACCGTAACATGTATACCACAGATTAAGTGCGCTCACTAGAGAGTTTGGCCAGCCCTGAGCATTCCAAACCACAGCTTGTTACACATTATCTCCACAGCCTGTGACAACCTCACAAAATACTTTGAATTTCTCTCTTCACAAACCTAGGCCTCTGACTTTACACGCCCGAGGGGCCTGACTCACAGTTATGCTAATGACCTTTTATGCCATTCTGGCAGCACACATGAGGGACCTTAGAGTGGGTGCTAACAGCCCACTGAAAATACACCCTGTGCAGAGGGCCTCCCTGGCCATTGAGGAGTTAGTGGAAGGGTTCTGCACTAGCCCTGTTCGTAGACACCCCTCGCCCCTGACACAGGCAGGAGATGAGAAATATGCTGGAGGTGTGGCCTGGACACATTGTGCTCTGGATAGTCTGTTTCTCAGACTAGAGTGTATGCAGGAGTAGCCCTGTGGCTGCTCCAATTTACACCAGCGGTCAGGCAGGTCCCCGCATGGCCCCAAAATTCAGCGTCAACTGAAAAGGAGGCCATAGGTCTAGTTATATTTAACCCTATTACTACACCTTGGCAGGTCTTGCAGCTTATAAATCATAGTCCCTGCTGCAGATACCGAGCTGAAGGAATTTCTGCAGGAACCACTGTATTCCCTTCCCATGGAGCCAGTATAAGAGTGGAAAGCAAGGGAACGCACTAAAAGTTTGTGATAGAAAGGGGGGGGTGAGGAACAATCATGGTTAACATTCTTTCCCTCTGCCATGCCTGAGGCGCTCTAAAGAGAGATGAATGGAGTGATGCGCAGATAATAGCAGTTGGGTAATGTGGTTTGGGGAGCTGTCTGAAGCAGACAGGGTGGAGAGGTGCTGAAGTGGAGCCTCTTGAGTCTGTTCGTTCCCAAGGTGACCCAGTGAGTGATGCCCACTTGAGCCAGAGGGCCCAGAAAAGGAAGCACTGTTTAGCTAAAGTGAGAGCCAGCCTGGCAGGGTTCCTCAGAAATCCTCACCACCAGGTTGCTCAGGTGAGCACAGTGGATATGGCCAGATCTTCCCTTTGCCAAGACAGTTGGAGCCACCTCCCCCTCTCATCACAGCTGCCTCACCAAAGTGTGCCACTTTTCCACAGCTGCCACCCACTTGGTAATTACCCCAGAAGAGAGAGAGATTGTGTCTCTTCAGTTAGCCCTAGGGAATGAAGTCTGGGTTGGGCTCTCAGCACAGTGAAGATTCATCCGAGTCTGCAAGATGGCCACCATCTGGGACAACACAGGTATTGAATTGGGGACTTCCAAAGACTCAGGCCTTGGGCTTTACAGCTTGAGCTGAAGAGCCAGATTCTCAGGCTTGCACAGTGTCATGTCCTGTGGCTGGGCAAGGATGAGGGGGGAATACATAACATCCCTGTGTAACACCTGGATGCACCCTCCCAAGGGTGGGTGATCGATTGGTCACTCCCTCTCTGTGGGACCTCTCCAGTTCCTTGGGGTTATTTGGTTGCAGTGAAGAGATGATCACTTGATACTCCTGAGATTTTAATAATTATCTATTTTAAATTCTTTGTGCAGCCAGAACTCACACTCCAGCAAAAATTACTCTCCTGCTGGTAATAGCTCACCTTACCTGATCACTCTCGTTACAGTGTGTATGGTAACACCCATTGTTTCATGTTCTCTGTGTATATAAAATCTCCCCACTGTATTTTCCACTGCATGCATCCACTGAAGTGAGCTGTAGCTCACGAAAGCTTATGCTCAAATAAATGTCTTAGTTTCTCAGGTGCCACAAGTCCTCCTTTTCTTTTTTTGGATACAGACTAACACGGCTGCTACTCTGAAACTCTCCAGCAAGACTACTCCATGTAGTATAAGCACTGTGTCCCATCCTAAGCACTACCCCCGGGAGTAAGTGTTAACACCCTGCATCACTTATTTTTAGGTGTCAGCTCTCATCTTGCACTCCACTCCGGCTCTGCACAATGTTTCCCCTCTCTGCTTTCTCTTCTGCTGCCCCACCTCCAGAAGCCTCCCCCTCTGCTTGGCCTCCCTCTGAAGTATTTCACAATACTCAGCATGACAGATGTTATGCAAGAGTTATTGTACATGCATGTGAAATATGAGGCTTGTACCCTAGTGCACTAGAGATCAGTGAAGTTCTCCTTAGAAAGAAAAGGAGTACTTGTGGCACCTTAGAGACGAACGAATTTACGAAAGCTTATGCTCAAATAAATTGGTTAGTCTCTAAGGTGCCACAAGTCCTCCTTTTCTTTTTGCGAATACAGACTAACATGGCTGCTACTCTGAAACCTTTCGTTCTCCTTAGAGATGGGCCTGAACCAAAGCCCCAGACCCAAACAGCTCCCAAACTTTGAGGACGTATAAAATCCAAACATTTACCTCAAGCCCCTCTCTAGCTATGACACATGCCAAGGTATCATTGCATAGATAGAAATCTAGAACATGGGATCAGACAAAACACAAGACCTGGGACCTATTTCCATGCTTATAAGCTTCCAGGCCTTTGTGCTGACTAGGAAATCATGCAAATGTTACCCATTGCCAATACCCAGATGAATGGGAAGGGCAGTAAGGGAAGCGAATGGACCTGACACATTATCAGTCATTTATACTGATTGGTTAACTGAACACTGTACTGGTTAACTGAACACTGTACATGTCCCTCACGTGATGGTGACAGGAAATCTGACTAGGTCTCTAATGTCTTGATAGGGTATTAACAAGGTTGCTAGATCTAAAAATTGACCACTCATTTTACTGGAAAATGCTCCCATACTGTAGTTCTTCTAAAGTCTGGATTTGATCCGTATTTTACCTCCCCCTGCAAATAATGCAACCCTTGTGATTCTCCACATAAGCAGCCTTACTCCAAGTCTCACCCCTGTAAAACAAACTGGCCCACACAGTGATAAGAGATACCATGACTTACTGGGTTGGATTTTAATACAAATAAAATAATGCACAGCTGAAATCCTGAAGGTAAGAACCCCAGCGTGGGGCAACTGTCAAGGAAGGTAAATCCCGATTAAAGACTTGTACTTACTTTCTGGGGCATAGGTTAGAATAACTCTTTTTGTTAGGAGTCTGTTATGGCCTTGCTTTCAAGGCTACCCAGCTGAGCTAGCTCAGTAAGCAGCAAGCCGAGAGAAAGCACCTAATGTCAGAATCCTCTCATATAAGATTCTGAGGTATCTGTTATTTACCGCTTTATTTTGATGACCCATTGAATGCCTACTTGCAGACCGCTTTAAATAAAGCGATCCACAGAGAGCAACATTGATCAGAATCATTGCAGCTGCAGCCTGAAATAGCAGCAACCGCCATGCTGCTGTGTGTATTACAGTCGCAGCTAGATTCTGAGCCACTACTGCATCAGACTGATGCACCTTTGTGCAAGGGGCTGCACAAACACACGCACTGTAGTAGGAGACAGCCCCTCCCCCAAATATCTTACAAGCTAAATGGGCAAGGCAGAGAATGGACAGGAGGAGAAAGAGAGTGAACCAACTCTCCCAAGGACACACAGCAGGTCAGTAGCAGAGAACAGAACCCAAGTGTCCTGAGTCCCAGACCAGGGTTTCTATCCACTGGGGAATTTAAACAAATAAAAAAAGATAAACCAAGTAAATGCACTCTGCACTCTACCCTGAGGTCTGCTAGACTCCAGCAGACTGTCAGGGCATATGAATTAAAAAGGTTAGAAACCTTGATTGAGAAAGGCTGGGTGCTTTGGAAAGTTCAGTTTATATAACTACACACACACAGCCACAGTCTTAATGTAGTAGAAGTATCGTAGAATCATAGAATATAAGGGTTGGAAGGGACCCCAGAAGGTCATCTAGTCCAACCCCCTGCTCGAAGCAGTAAGCACTTTGCAGGAGTTGGAGTACAGCAACGGACGCAAGCACACCTGGATTCTTTTCCTAGCTGCGTCATTGACTTCCAATACAACCTTGAGTAAGTTACACAGGAAAGCAGAAACACAGATGGGCTATCTGTAAACAGGGTATAATAAAACTGACCTATCTCAAAGGGGTGTTGGTCAGGTTTAATTAACTTAAGCTTGTGAAGTGCTTTGAGATCCTCAGATGAAGAGCTCTAGAGAAATGCAAAACATTTTTACAGCTACAGGGCTCACCAGAGAAAAATGTGGACACATGTCCTGAGTCTCTGCTCACTTACACTGGAGTACAGGAGGAGTAACTCCATTAAAGTCAATCGGGTGACATCAGCGTGAAGGAGAGTAGAATGAGGCCCACAGTTCATCAACTAATTTTGTTACAGTTGATTTCAGTTCACGGCTGAAGCCATACTAAGGATGTCCAGGGACCTGTGTGTCATCCACAAGGCCTGCTTTTTGCTCTACATTCCCCAGAGACTGTATGCAAACTGGCAGGAGTGAACATGGTGGCAGTCCATAGAGTCAGGCTGGCGTGAGACCTCGGTTTGAAAGCAGAGGGACAGATTCCCAGTTTATGGGGCTGTAAGAGTGAAGCAGCATGAGAAAGTACCATACTTGAGAGCAAGGTCAGCAGAGAATCATACACTGATGCTGGGACAGTGGTCTCCACAATTAAAGGGGCTGCAAGGAGTCTTAGGAGCCTATCTGGGCTGGCTCAGGTCAAGGTTTCTCACAGAGAAGAAGAAAGCCTGCTGAGACAGATGGGCAGGAAGCATCGCACAGGCACAGCTTTACAAGAACATCCACCTTCTGCACTTAATGCATTTTTCCATCAGTCCAGAGAGAGAGAGACTTACAAGCATTAATTAAGCTTCATCACCACACAGCTGAGATAGATCAGACCACAAATTAATCATTCCCAGCTCACTGACGGGGGACCTGAGGCCCAGGGCAGTGGAGGGGACTCACCCAAGGTCACAAAGCAAGTCAGTGTCACATCCAGGAGCAGAAACCCAGAGTCTTACCTCACAGTCCCTGCCATAACCACTGGGTCCCTTCCAGACACCCTGTAAGGGAGTGCAAAACTTCAAAACTACATCTCTAAACAGGAACAAAGAAACAAATCAGGTCTTGGAATATGCAACGCTCAACTCACTGGTTTCCTCTTATCTCTTGCGGGTGGGGGGAGGGGAAGTAGCTTTGGGAAAGAAACAGCAATATGAATTTGCCCAACTTTCCAGCACGGCATGGCTGAGCCACACGGACCGAAAGGTGTCCCAGGGACGCCGCCTCCTCACTGGAAACGCTGCTGCCCTGGAGCAGACAGGTAGAGATGCAGGGCAAGGCAAAGCAAGAAACGTTTACAAAAAAAGGGGGCATGATGCAACAAATTGGGGGGGGATACAAAAAGGGAGGGTACCTCGAGTGCATCTAGAGTGATTATGCCCCCACCTCGTAGTAGTAGGGGAGTGCATTGCAGCCAATTGCATGTCAGCCCACGGTTTCTCTCTGCATTACAGAGGGAGAAAGGACACACACACACAGCGGCAGCCTCATCCCTGCCCGGCTGCAGGCCAATGCACAGCGCCGGGGCACTCGCCAACCCTAGTGCATTTGCCCAGCGCGGGGCGCGGCGATCCCCGCCTCCCAGGAGGAGGCAGACGCCGGGTCCCAGGGCGGGCGAAGGGGCGGCTGGAAAGGGGACGGGCAAGAGCCTCCCCCACCCCGACCCCAAGCGGCATCCCTGGGGAGGCGGCAGCGCCGCGGGGGAGGGGCGCCCAGGGGCACTTACCGGGCTCCCCGCTGCTCCGCCTCTGCCTGGGATGGGGAAGCAGCCGCAGCCTCCCTCTCGCTGGCTTTCCCTTTAACTGGCGCAAAGCAGGAGGTCTGCACGATGCCTTTCCCAGCCCCACACGGCAGCTCGCCTCTGCCGCCTTTGGCCGCTTTGCGGAGCTACAACCTCCCTCCGTTCCAGGCCCCCGCAGGAGGTTTCACGTGCCATCGTCCACGTCAGTAGAAAGTCTCCATGACTAACACAGACACCCCCCCCCCCCGTCCGCCCCCATGGGTGCATTGCTGCTTCGCGAGCACGGGACTGCTAACGCCACCCGCAGGCGCAGGGATGTGGTTACAGCCCCCTCGCTCCCAGGCCCAGGGTTCTTGCTAAGCAGGAGCTGCCTTTCGGGGAAAAGGGGAAAACCAACCTCCTTTCCTGCCATCTCTTTGACAGAAGTGTTCATTGCAAAAGGCAGGGTATTGAGTAACAAACAAACAAGGCTCCTGCACGGCCCAGCAGACTGCGATCAAGCGATGGAGTCCGAATTTCAGAGGGGCAGAGCACCCATCGCTGGGGCTGGGTCAATCCTGGATTTTTCGGTTCGCTGGCCATTGTAAAAAGACAGGAGAGGAAAGGTGTGTGTCCGGCCCAACGAAACATTGTGTTTCCATTTTGACCGTTTTCGATGTTTTTGATTTATTTTAAAATAGAAATTAGATTTCAAAACAAAAGGTCATTTCCACGACAGCAACAACAACAAACCATTTTGCTTCAAAAAAAAAAAAAAAAGGCCACGTGAAACAATGTGGCACTCTCAACACAAATTTGCAAAACATTTGGGGGATCACCAAAGCTGCATTTTTTCCCCAAAATATCACTCAGCTCTACTTGCAGGCTCTTAGTACTTGCACTGACTGTCCATGTGGATAAACACAGCCCCTGCAGGGCGGGCACAGCAACGGGGTAAGGGCATACAGTGGGGAGCATAGGCCACTGGCTCCATGGAAATGGAGGGGGGGTGTCACCCTGCAGACCTCCCCCCACCAGCGTACAGACTCGGCAGTAAGGCTGCACCCAACCCTGACACAGCACAAGGGCCGGGTCTGCCCTAGAAACACCCTTCCCCTCAGTGCCAGATGTAGGTCTATAGCAAGCAAGAGGGACAGAATCTCGGTCATATGCCCAGCCCCGGCCCCCCAAAGTGGCGATTTAAGTCACTCCCAGCTGCTCCTAATATCTTAACAGACACGCCTGCTTGGGACCACTGCTGGAGATGGTGTGCGACTCTCACAGCTTCTCTTTGCTTCTCCTCAGAATCTGTCGTTCTGCGGGGAAACAAAAAAACCCTGCAGTGGACATGAATTCTGCATGTGCCCCGTGACACAGAATTCCCCCTTGGAGGATCACTGCCTACAATTTCAGGACATTACCTGCCCCTCTCGGAGTTCACTGTATGCTCCTAGGAGGGAATCATAAAAGCGGAAGGCTGGAAAGGACCTAGAGAAGTCAAGTCCCGCCCCCTGCACTGAGGCAGGGCTCTAATAACCCATCAGGACACAAAACCACCATGTCCCAACAAAACATCAGGCGAGCGTGAGACAGGAAGACCTATCCTGCTGTTGCAACACCCAGTCCCGAGCCGCTCCTCACTGGCAAGGCTCTTCCACGGTTCTCCCACCCAAGCCCTGCCCCTGTACAGCGCCGGAGAGAATGGGGTCAGAGGGATCCACCCCCACAGTCGGGACACTAGGGGGTCTCCGGGCCATTGCAGCAGAGCACGGCCAGGCTACATCTTTGGGGCAGTGACGAGAAACAGTAACTAGCCTCTCAGCAGCCACAGGGCACGGTCCTCTTGCAAACACAGCGCCGAGACCGAACCCATGCGTGCACACCCACACCGAGCAAACCCCCGGCAGGCAAGCGGGCCTTCCTTTTTTGTTCAGCAGAAGCCGCCCAGGGAGGTGACAGAGGGGCCCCGGGGGCAGGAAGGCGGGCTGGGCTCTCTCTCCTTTGAAGCGGCTCTGCCTGCTCACTCATTCTGTGCTTTCCTACTGACAACAGCGCGGGGGGCGGGTTCGCCCGCGGAGCGATCCGGATTTAAGTTACACGAGAGCACGTGTCAAGCTCTGGCCGGATTCAGACTCCCCACCAACGCGGGGTTGAGTCATATCCCTGCAGCCGTTTGGGCAGCATCCGAAAGGCTGGATACCTGCCGCTGCATTCTCCCTGGATGAGTCACGTTCGCGCACTCCGGCCAGAAAGCAGCCTTTCCGGCTGCAAAAGTGGGTGGTGCCCAGATTAGCATAGGCTGGGCGCGAGTGACTCACAAATCCGCTAAACTCTGCCTTTCTCTCATCAGCAGCGCCTGTGGGACGAGCTACTCCGCTGCCAAGGCTGCCTATGTACAGGCACCTCACTCAAAACAGGTGTTTTAGCTGAACCCACGTTGGGAGTAGCTCCTGACTCCAGTTAATAAACACTTTCCCAGCAGATGGTCAGAGATCCGTTGTTTTCAGGTAAAACACTGAGAATATTATTGCAGAGAGGGGTTGAAGGATGAAATGAACTGATCTGCTGCAAATCAACGCATTGCTTTCATTGCGGCCTCTTGTACAGACCCAGATTTCCTGGATACATTGTCTAATTTAATCAACCAATGTCTCTTGTACCAATCAGCATGATTTCTTAGCACCATCCAAGCAGGAGCTGGGCCAGCCTGAAGGGAAGAATGGGCTTGTGATTAAAGCACTGAATGGGACCCAGGTGACAGGTCCAATTTCTGACTTTGCTGCTGACTGCTGGTGTGACCTCAGGCACATCCTCAAAGGTATTTGGTGCCTAATACTATAGAAATCAATAGGAGTTAGGTGTCTAAATGCTTTCAGGAATCTGGCTTTTAGTCTTTCTGTTTCCTGTCTGTAAAATGGCCTCCATCTCTCCTTTCTATTTGGATGGTGAGCTCTTTGGGTCCAGGACTGTCTCTCATGATGTGCATGTGTATCACCTGGCATCATGGGGCTCTGGCCACAGTCCAGAACTCTGACTGCTACTGTAGTACGACTAATAAGGCCATGGCCATCTTCTCTGCAGATCCTTCATTGAGGTCTTATTGCACAGGCCTTTTCCAGAGGCAGATCTCTAAGGGAGAAGAAAAACTCGCCAGCCAATGTGCCACTGACTCTATTGAGGGAAAGCTTTGCCAAGAGATGTTTTTTGCAACTCAGGGCCCAATCCAAATGCCATGCAGGTCTTGAATGGGATTGGGATCCAGACCTAAAAGTGGCAAGACATGAAGTCAACCTGATATCCTGCAGTAGGGAGTTCCACAGGTTGGCATCCTGTACTGCAAAAGCTTTCCCCCAGCTCCTGGAAGCTTCCCCCTGGCTAGGCACAGTGTCCCAGTCAATCCTGGTACTGTTGGTTTGAGGCGGGGAGTCTAGTTCTGTGAACTGTTCAGGTATAGAGACTAGAAAAAGTTTAGTGGCAGGGTCCTGAACAGCACCAGTTTATTCTGAGTAAAAAGCAATAAATCCTATCCTGACTGATGGGACTTAGTCACCATGTCAATAGGGAAGAGGGCATCTAGGGAGTCTTCCTCCTTTCCCCATGGGAAAACCTGGGTGAATTTAGCTTTATACCTCAGTATAAAGGATCTGGATCTCCCCCTCATGGAATTCCTCTGGGTATCACAGGGCTGATATAACAGCCTTTTGCTTCTCCCCGCCTTGTATTCTTGGTATTAAGGCGTGCTGGGATTAGCCAGACTGCTCTGACCTCCAGCTGTTCTGGGCTGCTGGATGGTCCTTTGGGGCCGTTGCAGCCCAGGCATGCATTAGAGCAGCTCCTGGGGCTGATTTGGCCCTGGTAGCCCCAGAATTACAAAGATGCAAACATAGCACAAAGCTGTCTTCTCCTCCAAGGCCACATGCACCGCCAGCCTGGGCTGTGCCTCCTGAGAAATGCAGCTCAGAATCAGGGCCTACACCTGTGAACTGAAGCACTGATCTCCTACTTGTTGGTACAGACCATGTTCTCACAGTTTAAGCTTTCATGGGTTAGAACCAGACAAACATGGCTACCATTCTAAAACCTCATACCCTACAGTAGGAGAAGTCTAGCCTGGAGCCACAGCACTCACGGTCTGTCTCTATTTCAGATCTCTCGCTGTTTTCCAAGGACACTTCATATTTAACTTAGACTCTTTAGGACAGGGGTGGGCAAACTTTTTGGCTCGAGGGCCACATCTGGGTGGGGAAATTGTATGTGGGGCCATGAATGTTGGGCTGGGGCAGGAGCATAGGAGGGGGCATGGTGTGCAGGAAGGGGCTCAGGGCAAGGGGTTGGGGTGCAGGAGCAGGGCAGGCAGTTGGGGTGCAGGGTGTGGCAGGGGCTCAGGGTAGGGGGCTGGTGTTTGGGGTGCAGGCTGTGGCCCAGCATCACTTACCTTGAGCGGCTCCAGGGTGGCAGCAGCATGCAGTGGGGCTAAGGCAGGCTCTCTGCCTGCTGTGGCCCCGTGCTGCTCCCAGAAGTGGCCAGCATGTCCGCAGTGGCTTCTGGGGGTGGGGTGGGATAGGCGGCTCTGCCACGTGCTGCCCTCACCTGTGGGCACCACCCCCAAAGCTCCCATTGGCCGCAGTTCCCCATTCCCGGCCAATGGGAGCTGTGGGGGGCAGTGCCTACACGCGAGGGCAGCACACCGAGCCCTCTGCCCCCCTCCCCCAGGGGCTGCAGGGACATGGTGCTGGCTGCTTCTGGGAGTGGCACGGGGCCAGGGCAGGCAGGGAGCCTGCTTTAGCCCTGCTGCGCCACGGGGCTGGTAATCCCATGGGCTGGATCCGGCCCGTGGGCCGTAGTTTGCCTTCCCTTGCTTTAGGAGTTCCTTCTGCAGCTCAGACTTGGCTCCATTTAGCCCACCCACCTCTTAATACCTGCCCTGAAAATTTAGTCATGCTTTTGCCGGACCCCCAGATCAGTGTTACAAATGTCAACTACTCTCCAATAAATCTAATTTCAATCCCTAGTAAAATAACAGAACAAATATTAGGAGAAACAAACCTGTAAACACCTGTAGAATAACGAAACCATCCTTATGGCAAAATTCAGAACCTCTGCTCGATCCCTGAAAACCTTCTTGCCTACTGAACCAACATGCCTGTGTCACACATTGCTCAAAGGCTCCCTGGGTTAGATTTTGCTGTCAGTTC